CATTTAGACCCAATTTACTTTAGCAAAACAAAGCCCAATAAATCGCCCATTTTTCTTCATCTTCTTCACCCGTGAGTTGCAGAACTGCGACCAGCCACCAAAATCTGCAAGCTCAAAAATCCTCTCCGATCGATACTTCAACCACTACATACCTCTCTCATCCTGTTTAATGGGTACCCAATGGCTTTTCATTTAAGAAATTCAACAAAATCGCCGCTCTCCGCATCCACACAGGTCCACAAATTCCTCGCCGGAGATGGCGGCCGACCGTCACTCTTCGCCGCCGGATTACAGTCTCCCGTCCACGGACAAGACACGCTGTTACGAGGGCGAGGAGTTCAAAGAGAGCAAGTTGATGGTAGCTCTTTGCCCATGTATTTTATGCTTAATTCTTTTACTCGTAGTAGCATCAATCGTACTCGTTGTCAAATTCTGTTTATACTGCCATACCCCTCTTCACTCTCTCTTAAAAAATGCCTGCCGGCAATAATCCCACACCAAAATCCCCCACTTTGCTTGAATAAAATTAGGCCCTTTTGTAGCGATGTCAATTCGATGCATACCGATTCCGAATTCGAGAGCGACATAAAAAATGAATCAGCTTCTGCCGAATTCGAGGCCGATTTGAAGGAGGTGGAAAGAGTATGCAAGGTGATCTACGTAATGTTTGCTCTAGATAGGAACATGGAGGCCGTTTTAGACGAATGTGGGATCAATATGAATCATAAATTGGTGTTGTTTATGCTGCAGAGATTCAATCATGCTCGAAAACCCGCATTTCGGTTCTTCTGTTGGGCTTGAGATAGGCCTGGATTCTTTCATGATTCGACCACTTACAATGCAATGATGAATATTCTTGCAAAGACAAGACAATTCGAGACATTGGTTTCTCTCCTCGAAGAAATGGGAGAGAAGGGTTTGCTCACGATGGAGACCTTCACCATCTGCATCAAAGTCTTCGCCGCTGCAAAGGAGAGGAAAAAGGCAGTTGCCATTGTCGATTGGATGAAGAAACATAATTTCAAGGTTGGAATAGAGACCGTTAATTGTTTGCTTGATGCATTGGGTAGGGCCAAGCTCGCAAAAAAATCTCAAACGTTGTTCCAGAAATTGGAGCACAAATTCGCCCCAAATATAAGAACGTACACAATCTTGATCAACGGTTGGTGCACGGTCAAGAATTTAATGGAAGCCTCTAGAATGTGGAATGAAATGATCGATATCGTAGCCCACAATATAATGCTCGAAGGGCTGTTGAGGAGCCATAAAATATCCGATGCAATCAAGTTGTTCGAGGTAATGAAATGTAAGGGCCCACTTCCTACTGTTAGGAGTTATTCTGTATTAATCAAGAATCTATGCAAACACGGCCACTTAAAAGAAGCTATAGACTATTTTGACGAGATGGTCGATTCTGGATGTGGGCCTGATGCTGCGGTGTACACATGTTTGATGACTGGTTTTGCGAATCAAAAGAAGATGAATATAGTTTAACGGTTATTAAACGAGATGAAGGAGAAAAATTGCCAGCCCGATGGCCGATTGTACAATGCATTGATCAAGATGATGGTGAATAGAAGAATGCCCGACGAAGCGGTGAAGATATACAAGAAGATGGTGCAGAGTGGATTCAGAGCTTCAGTCCACACTTACAACATGATCATGAAATCGTACTTTGTCGCAAGAGATTGCGAAATGGGGCTTGCGGGTTGGGAGGAGATGAAGAGGAGAGGGTTTTTTCCGGACGAGAACTCGTACACGGTTCTCGTGGGGGGGCTTGTTAGGCAAGGGAGATTGAATGAGAGTTGTAGGTATTTGGAAAAGATGATTGATACGGGGATGCGGGCCCCACGGATCGATTATAAGAATTTTTCGGCTGGTCTTTATCGGAGTGGTGGAAGGAATTGTTTGGAGGATTTGGCTGAGAAGATGAAATTGTCTGGTAATTCTGAGGTGGCTAATTTGTTGGAGAGATGGGTTAAGTGATTGTGATGACGATGACGACGACGACGATGATGATGAAGAATTTATTACTTATTAGTGAAAAGATTAATTTGTAATTGTATGATTAGTTATGTTACTTATTGGTGGAGAGGAGTATGAAATTTTGTTGTAAATGTTTGTGGCATTGTCATTTTCATATAAACTTTTGTTATCATGAAGTGAAATGTTAAATGTTAGTTTCAATTTTGTTAATATTAATTTGACTTCGAATGTCGTTTTGATTATTTTATAGTTTGAGTTTGGTAAAACTCAAAATACGGAAATTGAAGTTCTTTGATCTAGCTGTCTGATCCGACTTGAATCCGCTGAATTTAATGTCGGGTGATAAAGTTATGCACGAATGAGTTACATTTTAAAAATCAAAGTTGTGGGCGATGTTTCACTGATTCATGAATATATTTGTCATACGACATTAAATTTGTTAATTGAAGTTGGATTAGAAAGCTAACTAAAAGAACTATAAATTTCATGTTTTGAGTTTTGCCAAATTCAACCCCGAAAATGGTCAAAATCAAGTATAAAGTTGATATGATATGCACGAGTTTACCGAATTTATCCAGTGGCCGTACATAAATAATGTACATATTATTTATATTAATTAGTTGTTGTAATAAAATACATTTGTTATTTGTATTTTGTGCATATCATTAAAAAAATAGAAAATAGTAAAATATAATAATTATGTAAAATAATATCTCTTTGGTAGAGAAGGGTTAGAAATAAATACACTTAATCTCTTGTGAAGTAAAAGCAAAGAAGAAAGTAAAAGGAAAATAGAAAAAAAAAACAAACTTGTTGATTACGTTTATCTCCATCACTTCATATCCTTACATATCTTCGGTTTCGGTTTTACAGATGCTACATTTGGTTAAATACACCTGAACATCATATTATCGTAGATTCACACACACAAACATTTTCTTTTGAATAAAAACGTGTATAATTAAATATTACTAGATGAATACACCGAGTGCAACATATAATAAACTTCACCATCTTCTTTCATTAAAAACTATATATGCTCCACATTTCTTACCTTCAAGAGAAGATTTTTACTATGTAATATTCTTGATGGCATTAATTACCAATAATGAAAAAATTAAGGTAAATTCCCATATTAATTAATTTTTCGACAAATAAAATCCCAAAACCTACATTGTTTTCCTAAAGAAAAAGATCCCACGTAAAATTGTTGTTATATCTTTATCTACACAAATAATATTGTAGGAAAATTCAAAGCCCCATTCGAAAAGATGTTTATGTATTAAAACTGCAGATAATCTAAATATATATTAAATAAATAAAATTTAAATACTTTCTATCCCCCTCCATCTCTTCCCCCTTCACTGCTCAATCTTTAACATTACTTACACACACAGTGAAGAACAGTAAGAATTATTATATTTTGGATATTATTAATTTATTGGTAGTATTATTTTTTATTTTTGCTGAGAAAGAAAGAAAGAAGAATCTTATGTTTACATGCAGTCATGAATGAATGATGTTTGACAGCAATTTGATTTAATCCTCCATTTTTAGCATCTTGATTTATTTATTTTATCCCATAAGAATTATATTATTTTTGTATTATATTATTTTTTTTAATTTTTTTTTCAGATGAAACGAAGCTCGTGTAACGTGTTGTGTCCGGTTTGTTTTCTCATGGTGCTGGTATGTGTTTAATTCAATTTTTGTTTTTTTTAAAGAAAGTACAAATGTTTAACTTTAATCAGTTAAAAAAATTATATGAATTGCTAATTTTGCTTGCTGCAGGTACTTATGGTGCTTTCTCTATCTGGTTTATTGATCCCATTATGGATCATTAGGGCTACTAAAATCGAAAACGAAGTGCAAGTTACCGCCAAAAAAACGAATCAAGAATTAATTTCCGGTATTCGAAAAACCGCCACATTGTTTTCTCCTATTAATGCATCAGCCATCAACTTTGTTCGAGTATTAACCTCGACTCTCGATGAGCACGATTTCCAATTTTCCAAAATTGAATCGAAGGTAAGTAAGTGGCGTGAATTCGACTTCGAGAACTTATTTATTTCTCGTGATATTTTTTTATTGATCATTAAATGCAGGTTGCTTCGACGTTGTTTCAAGCGTTATCCACAATACCGTATCTATCGCAGATTTCTTACGTTGGATTAGACGGCCTATTCTTTGCTTACTATACTCAAGAAAATCAAATTTATCGCAATGTACTCAAGTTCGACATTTTCCGATGCGTAGAACTATTCTTGGTGCATCCAATATGTGAATCGTGACAGTGGAAAACTATACGGTGAAGCAATTAAGTCACCTCCGTTTGATGTAGTAAACTCGACCTAATTTCAAGAAGCGTCGAGTAATAAAAACGGATACGCCTCGGTGGGAACTTCATGGGGAGATACTCGGAATATTCTTCTGCTTAGTTTCGTAAGTATGTATGGAAAAGGGGTCGTTTCTTTAGGTTATCCAATGCAATCACTAATCGATTTCTTGATTAATGGGATAAGATTTTACGATGGGAGCTTTATTTGGCTTCTAAAAGGGATGGGAGTGTTCTAGCTCAAGGGATTCCAAACACTCGTATGATCTTAGCGGGCGATCGAGTGGCGTTTCAGTTATTAAGCGAAGATGATTATGGAGTTAGCGAAGTCGGAAATCTCACGTGCCAATCATATGATGACAGCACGTCAAGAAACTATGTATTGAGCTTTTCGGGTAGAGAGTATGTGATTAATTGTTCATCACTTGACATCGCCGGACTCCCTTTGGTAAGATTCGTTTCATTTCGAACCAAAAAAAAGAGATTCTTGATTTATTTTTTCATAATTTTTTTTTTTCCGATTTTTTTAAAGGTATTGGCTATGCCGCACAAGGGACTCTCGAGCTTAGTACACAAGAACATAAAATTGGCATTCGTTCTGTTAATGCTAATGATTGGCGTTGTGGTTATTATGATCTTGACGTTCGTGTATCTAATTGTCGAAGCTGCGAGAAGATAGATGCATCTATGTGGGGCCCTCATAAGCCAAATGGAAGCAACTCAACAATCGGAGCGAAAGAGCATGAACAAGAGCTTGGCCTTTGCACGCGCAAGCCATGACATACGTGCTTCTTTAGCAGGGATAAACGTCCTGATAGAAATATGCCGGATCGAGGTTTCGAAGCGGGACCCACTTAGATCGGAAATACCTGCGAATCTACTACAAATGGAATCTTGCACGAGGGATCTTTTGGGAATCTTGAACTTGATTCTCGATACGAGTAAGATAGAGGCAGGGAAAATGCAGCTCGATGAGGAAGAGTTCGACTTGGAGAAACTAATGGAAGATGTGGTTGATTTGTACCACCCTGTGGGTAGGAAGAAGGGCGTGGACATAATTTTGGACCCGTTCGATGGGTCGGTCACGAAATTTTCTCGTGTGAGAGGTGATAGAGGGAAGCTGAAACAGATTTTGAGCAACTTGTTGAGCAATGCTGTGAAGTTTACGTCGAACGGGCATGTGGTGGTTCGAGTTTGAGCTAAAAAACCGAGTCTTGAGAGCGGGATTATTACTTCGAACAGAAGCAACTCGATGAGGTATCTTTTGTGCTTGTTCAAGATCCAAAGAGCGTATAGTGAACCGGAAGCTACTCACAGGGAAACAAATAACCGCGTGGAGTTTGTTTTTGAGGTGAACGATACGGGAAAAGCGATTCTGAAAGAGAAGCAAAAACTTGTTTTTAAAAACTACGTACAAGTCAAAGAAACTGCACTCGGTCAAGAAGGCACCGGCTTGGGGCTAGGCATTGTTCAATCTCTAATAAAACAAACTGTAATAACTGATTTTTTTTTTATATTTTTTTTTTGTTTTTGTTTTTCTTGATTGATGATGGTGATGTGTAGGTTCATTTAATGGGCTGGGAGATAGGAATAGTGGATAAAGAAGCGGGCGAGAAAGGGACTTGCTTCCGGTTCAAAGCGTTTTTCGAAAAGGATAATAATTCTTCTCCGAGTGCTGATATCGAGTCTATTGGCCATGACTCATTCTTGATTGATAGCCCCGAAAGAAGCACTCTCTTGCAAGGTTTCATGCACAAAATCGGGATTAAAGTACACGTTGTGAAGCAGTACGAACAACTCTCTCCGTCTTTGAAGAGGATCAAGCGGAAGCTGAATATATCCTACTATAGCTCTTCGGGAAAATCCACTACTTCTAGTGCACGTTCGAAAAAAGAGTTCCCCTTGAGTGCTCTAGAAGGAACGGACGACGTTTTACCTAATCCTCGGGCCGGTTATTCGGGCTTTGTTTTGATTGTGATCGACACGAGTGTGGCCCCGTTTAGGGAGATAAGTAGGACTGTGGCTGAATTTAGAAGGGACTTGAGTGAAAACTGTTGCAGTAAAGTTGTTTGGCTTGATAGTTTACAAGGTCTTGATGAGGATAAACTGCCATCGTTGGATTTAGTCATTTCGAAGCCGCTTCACGGGTCCCGCTTGTATTGGACTATTGGGATTTTACCTGAATTTGGGGGGCTGCCGCCCCGAAAGAGGGTAGAAGCTTCACACAGTGTTGAAAACATTCGACGTGGAAATGATGTTGCTAGTTCCGATGGGGGGGCAAGTAAGAGTTTTGTGAAGGGATCAAAGTGTGAGATTGAGGAAGTTGGAGGGGCAAACAACAAAAAGAAGCCGTTGCTGGGGAGGAAAATACTCGTGGCGGACGATGATCCGATCGGTCGAAAGATTGCTACTTTCGTGGGTGTGCAACTTGATTCAAGTATATTTCCGTGTGAAAACAGAGAAGAAGATTGGAATCTAGTCTGCAAGAGTCAGACGAAGGAAAGCATGTTGGAGCTTCGAAGACTTTACTCCCTTTCAATTGTATACTAACGGACAGTGAGGTAAAATAAAACGCCCCGATCGTTTTTTTTCAATCCTAATTTCTTCGACATTTTATTGTATATTTTCGATATTTGTATTATTTTGGCAGATGCCGGTGATGAATGGAGTCGATGCAACGGCAAGAATCAGAAAAGTAGAGGAAAGTTACGGTGTCCGTATACCAATCATCGCACTAACTGCACACAAGAAGGGGCAAGAGATCGATAATATGATTCAGGCTGGAGTCGACGGTTACTTAACCAAACCACTCAACAAGGATGTTGTCTTGAAAACTATTTCTGAAATTATTTGCAATGTATGACATTTTGTAAACATGTTTTCTTTTGTACTCTTGATCCAATAGAAGCTGCTTTTTTTTTTGTTTTATAACATGACATGAGAAAATCTTCATAAATATTGGTTTATATAAGAAGAAACAAGCTCTGCTCAATCCGTACCAGTAAGTATACAACTAGGGCTTTTAACCGAGCCTAAGACGTTCGTTAAAAAACCATCTAAACAAATCATTTGTCTTGAGTTGTCACATTCGACATTCTAACAGTCCCAATGTTAAACTTGGTCTTAAGCATCGATGAAACGGATGTCGAACGTATTTGGATGGATCTGCCACACGTTTAAGGCTGCGTATTCCTCCAAGCACTCTTTCAGCTAGGCTCGAGTTGTTAGAGTAGGTGACCAACAAGCCAACTTGTGGCTGTGGTCTTTCGTATTTATTATTGTAATAAACGAACCTTTATTCGTATTAATGATAAAACACATTGGCATTCTATATCTTTGTCCCTTTGTCACAAGCATAGATATAGTCCTTACAGTTATTACAAGTACTAGTAATTGATCGTTAGGATCGTGAGATATTTACTTAAGTATTATAACTGTTAAACGTGTTCCTAGTCGAAGGGTTACGCCACTAATGAGGATATCGGCCTTTCCCATTAAGACTAGCACTTAGTGTATGTGTACTGCATCTCATCAGTAAACGGTATTGTGATATCGGCATGCACAAGTGGGTGCTCGTAAGTTGACGAGTTCACTGAACTCCCTCACCCTAGAAATCTCTAAGTGGTTCCCAATAATCGAGTAGAGATATCTATGGTATAGTTGTACACCATTAGTCCTTATGACCTAGACATCACCGTGACTTCACTAGAGGACCAGCTGTATCGTGACCTGTCCCTGAGTTCCACCGAGGACCATCCCAAGGGCCAGTGTTCGTGCAGTCCGAAATCTAGTGGGAGGTCTGTGCATTGTAGTCGGGGATTCGATCGCTAGAATAGTCTTGGATGTCCTGTGTGTTCTGAAAGTTTGTAATCATTCTAAGTCTCTGGCCAGAGCTGACTAAGTGATGATTAGAGAATTTGATTCTTTAAGTCATGCACGTAAGGATTACAACACTTAGAACGATCGCACCGTTATTGAACATATAAAGAGGTCTCGATGAACCAATGCCTCTAGTTCGATCGGGACATATGAATCGAAGGGACCGTACTGTACGTTAACTATATCTGAAGGTTCTTGCAGGCACTTCATTTGTATCTAGGGAATCATGACGCGTAGTTGCTAGACGCCAATCTTGATTCGTTGGGTGATTAAGGTGAAACGAGCTTCATCTTAATTGTAACTCGAAGGGGACGAGTTTTGACCACAAAGAGTTGTGGGCCCACGGCTAGCTTACACCTGAACCATCGAGGGTCACACTGCTCGTGCACATGAGATCTTTGAGTAAACGGTCAGAGATAAAATAGTTTATCTTTGCATAATTGGAAGTCAATATGATTGAGTCCAACATTCGTAATTTGGAATTATGAATGAGAATAAGAAAAGGAAAAGAATAAGCGAACGTGTTAGTGAACTTTCTAAATCGGGAAGTTTCCAAATTTAGAAAGTCCACTGAACTAGGGTTTCCACTTTTGGAAAGTTGGAAAATAAGAGATGGCACTCGTAATGACGAGAAAATTATAATGACTCGGAAATTGTAATCGTTACAATTTTTCGATCATTGAATTGAGAGATACGAGCGATTAAAGAAACTAACGAGCTTAAGCTGTTGGGCCCAGTCCAACTTAAGCCCGCTAGGGTTTCATGCAAGGGATTATAAATACATGATTTATAACCCTAGCACAAACACAAGAAAACCTAACCCTAATCGGCCGCTCTCTCTCTCGCCCCTCTCCCGCTCGGCCGCCACCACCGTCGCCGCTCCGTCGCCGGAAACGGCCATTCCTTGGCCGGTTTTTGTTCGGTATTCTTTCTCCTTTATTTTCTTTCCGTTTTATTCTAACTACTTCGTGTCTAGTGCCACGATTTAGTAGATCGAAGTATACGAGGTGAAATCCGAGAGGAGGAAGACCGTAGATCGAAGAACCGAGGAGCAACGCACGAGCCGAAGCCGCACGCTGCCCCACGCGCCGCCTCGCACAACCGCGCGTGCTTTACACGCGCCGCCGTGAGCTGCCCACCGCCGCTGCTGCTGCTCCATTGCTGCCCCGATTCTGCGGATTGGTTTCCGTAGTAATCACGACGAATCGTTTGCTCCTACCTCACGCGTCAAGAGGTAAAAATTCGAAACCCTAGTTTCGTTTTTAGGGTTTAAATTAAACTATGATTTCATGTTCGATGTTTGTATGATTTTATGTGATTATGTGTAATCGATTAAATCGTTGCGAGCATGTTATTTGGTTTAAATTGCGAGCATGTTAATTGATTTAAATTCGGTTAAATTATTTAGCATGTATGTTGTTTTTAATTTCGCTGGAAGCGCAAAGGTACGCAATTAATTGATTTAATTTGTCGGGCATGTACTTGTGTGTTTTAAAATCGTTTAAATCACATTAAATTTTTGTTTTCCGCTGCGTATGCGTGCCCGAAACCCAACAGTGGTATCAGAGCTCGTTGCGCAATTAATTGCGTTCGTTTTAATATGCATGTTCGATTTATTAAAGTAGTGTTTGTTGTGTTATGTAATTGGGAGTTTTCGTAAGTTTAAAATATTTTTGAAATATTGTTTAGAATTTTTCCAGCTTTAAAATTGTTTAAAATTGGAAAATCGGATCTGAAATTATTTTAAAATGTCGGTTTTTTAAATTGTTCGGATCGAACCGGCCGAACCGGCCGGTTCGATGGTTGTGTGCGGTTTAGTTGACCGAATCCAAGTGGATTCGGGTCGGTCAGACCGGTTCTCGGTCCGACTGACCCGGCCCACTGATTTGGGTCAGCTGGACCGGACAGAACCGGCCCGATTCGGTCCGAACCGGTCAGACCGGTTGGGCCGAACCGGACCACTGAAAAATAAAAAAAAAAAAAAAAAAAAAAAATATTTTTTTTATTTCAGATTTCTAAAATTAAACTTAAAACAAATTGATTTTAATTTTTGGAAAATTATTTTCAATTAATCCCAATTAGATAATTGGATCGACAATCATCTATTTTAGTAAATAGGTGTTAGATTAATTAATTAATTTAAATTGTTAAATTGATTTCAATTAATAGAACACATATATAATATTGATTATAAGTTCAACTTAATTAGTAGTACCTCAACATTATTTGAATGACTTATGCTAGTTGAGGTTCTATAATTATTTTGAAAACTCGATAATTAATTAATGTAATTAATTATGAAATTAGGTCGTATGTTCCTCTTAGGACAATATGCGTTTTCCATATACCTTTAGAGAACATAGATGTAGGAATCACATAGACCAGTCCAAAACCTTCTGATGAGATAAAACACTTAATCAAAACCCCTCATTCTTTTAACTAAGAATCATTTCAAGCTGTAAAGAAAAACCCAATCTGTTGAGTTATTTCTTTCCTTCTGCCAACGGTTGGATTATGTGTAGCCCTTTACTATAGTGCAGTAAGCCGTGTTAGCGGGGAGTGCTATGGTAGAGTAAGCTGTAATTCAATTGACATAATGATGAAGGTAGCCATAGAAAAGGGTTATGTTGAATTAACGTGGTCGGCTAGATTAACTAGGGACTGCATTAGTTTGGCATAATCGAGTTCTATGAGCATCTTTGATTGGTAGGTTAGACTTGACACACGACGATTTTGATATTCGCGAGATTAACTTAGGTCATTATCAAGTGTGAGGAAAATTAATTTAGGGTCATATTGTGGATATGATTGATTGTGATCTACCTTTGGGCAAATATAATCGGGCTAGATTAACTACGGGTTATATTTGTCTATTGGACCTAAAGCCCATTAAGAAAAATCAGTTTTCTCGTTTGTCTACTAGAGGGAAGTGGAACTCGATAAAATTAGTGGGAGAACAATTAAATAACATAAGTCCAAACATTTAATTGTAACAATCATTTAACGCGAATCTCTAATAATCCTCTTCTCTATATGTCTCAGATAATTATGTCTAAGAATCCCATAATGTCAATCCTCGACAATAAACTCAATGGCCCTAATTACCTAGATTGGTTGCGTAGTCTTAAGCTTGTGCTAACTGTTGAGGGGCGTCTCTACGTTTTGAACGAGAGGCTTCCTGCCACTTTACCTGCCACAGCGACTGATGCTGAAAAGGAAACTTATGAAGTTTGGAAGAAAGATGACACTCATGCTAGGTGCTATATGATAGCCGCCATGGAGCCCGCTCTTGCGAGGAAATATGAGTCTCACTTGCATGCTTTCGATATAAAGGCTCATCTCGATAGCATGTATAGTGAGAATATTAGGGCATCGAGATACGCTGCTACAAAGGAGTTGATCACAGCGAGATTGCGCGAAGGGGTTTCGGTCCACGAGCACTGTCTCAAAATGATCACTCTCCTTGAAAAGCTAGTGAATCTCGATGTCACCCTCCCGGCCGAGCTCTCGTTGGATTTGATCCTGTTGTCTCTTCCTAGTTCCTATGAATCGTTCATAGTGAACTTCAACATGAACAAACTAGATCCTCCCTTGGATGAGTTAATGAACATGTTGGTCAGCTTCGAGTCCACCATTAAGAAAGAGAAGTCTGTTCTCATTGCTGCTCCTTCTGGAAAGAAGAGTTCTTTCCAAAAGAAGAGAAAGGAAAGAGTTTCCTTCCCAAACAGCAAGTTCGAAGTGGGTGAAGGCAGTGGGGGCCCCAAAGCAAAGGTTAGCAAACAAGTTGATGATGCTTGCCATCACTGTGGAAAGAAAGGACATTGGCGCCGCAACTGCAAGGCTTACCTAAAGCAGAAAGGTTCTGAAAAGGGTACGTATTTCATTGACGTAAATTTGTCTGTCAACTCTTCTTCTTGGGTATTGGATACGGGCTGTGGCTCACATTTGTGCAATGATTTGCAGCTAATGACAAGAAGTCGAAGA